TTCTTTTGATTCGACTTCCTTCTGATCAGGTTCATCCCCATTGACACACGTAATCGGGATTTTCCATCTTTTGCCACTCACTCAAGGATTGGGAATCCTAGACAAGGCAAAGGACCAACAGGATTAGAGCATGGAAAGAACAGTTCCAAACATATACTAACGAACACAACAGACAATAGTAACATATAGAGAACTTAACAAAGAGAGTTATGCCCCGTGATACCTGTATATGCACCATTCCTCTCATAATCTTGAATGAAGTGCATGATAACTGGGGTGGGTATGACATAACCAATATTCTCTACATCTTCATTTTTTAAAGACTGAAATGCAATACCAACACATTTGCCTTTATCACTGAAGGCAGGTCCCCCAGAATTTCCAGAGTTTATGGCAGCATCTATCTGCAAAATCATCTCGCCATCAATTTGCATGAATTGAGTATATTTAAGCAAATGATCAAAGTTATAAAGTCCTAAAACCTGCAGTCCCAAAAGCTCAGTTGATCCATGAACATAAGAAAGTGTCTCCATGCGCGAGACAACACCACTTGTCACAGAGATTGTGTCACCCCCAATAGGATAACCAACAACAGTCACAGCATCCTGGAGAGCCGGTAAATCTCCAAACTCCACAGGTGAAACTCCTTCCCAAAATTCATCGTCGCCAACAGACAACATTGCTGCAAGCATTTTTAAAACAAATTCATAACTAATCAACAACTTGGACTAAAAATTGCATCATAATTATTTAAAAAAGTAGTAAATTTTACTAACTATATTTAGGATCTTCGGGATTCCTGCAACATCAAAACCATAGCTAAAGGCTAGAAAAGCATGACAGTTAGCCTGGATTATGATGGGCACCCAAAGTAAGCTACACAATTACATCCATTAAAAAAAATAACAAGCTTTTCACCATCATTATCATTTCAAGAATAGCATATCTCTTTCACTAAATAGCTCCATCCGATTGGGTTCCATTCAATTAACAAGAACTTAGTAAATGCACCAAAAAACTTTCAACTAACAGTTTCCTCTGTTAATTTCAGTGCCACTAAACTATATCAATCAAGATCCTCTAAAAAGAAGCACCTAAGTGATGCAGAACGAGTTATGCTTAAATAAATTAAAAGTTATAATTCTTATAAATGCGAAGCTACTATACTATTAAGGAGGTTATTATTATATAATTTAAAAGTATTATTATATTTTTAGTATCTTAGGATTTTCATATTTATTAGTATTTTCCTATTTATATTAGAATTAGTATTTCTAATATTATTAGTATTAGTTTCTTATTCCTTTTTTAAAAAATAAAAGAAGA